CTCCAGAAGGTCACCGATATGGTGGTCCAAAATGTCACCGAACAAAGATCAGAATGTCGTGGACAATAAGTCACCAATATCGGAGATACAAAGTCCTAATGTAACCGGTGTCCAATCTGTGATGCCGCCGAGTATCAATCCCAACTATCTCCAAGTCTCGAATCCGGTAAGTATCACAGCCTCTTCCACCGAAGTCCGAACACTGATCTCTGTCCAACTCGTATCCAAGTCTCCAATCTGAAGAAGAAGAGTAAGTCTGAAGAAGAAGAAGAAGAAGAAGAAGAAGAAGAAGAAGAAGAAGAAGAGGTGGCAGAGGAGGAGGGAAAGATGGTGAGGTAGGGAGGAGGAGAATCCTCGCTGCCCTGTTCCTGGTCCTAGGCCTTTCCTGCAGGTGCGCGCTAGAGCTGTTGAAGACCTCCCTCAAGCTGGAGCTATGGCGCCACAGGCAAGTGCCAGGTAGGTACCTCCTACCCTCTCTATCCCTATGCAGTCCAGCGCTAAACCTCACGCTGCTGCCTCTAGCGCTGCGCTCTAAACAGAATAGCGCAGCGCTCCTCCAGTGTGCCGCTGCTCCAGAATGTGGGAATGGCCGCTGGACCGGCCTAAGTACCGTCCGGTGGCCGGTCGGCCTCGATGCTGGCCTCCTGGGCCGTGGGCTGAACCATCGAAATGACCGTTCAGCTCAGACCGGCGGGCGGCAGCCTCAAGAGCGCCGCCAGGCCCAAACGGTCATGTTGTTTGGGCTGCGGCGCCAACCGGTGGCCTAACAGGGCCTACCAGGAGAAAAAGGCCTGGCCTTTGGCGAGGCCGGCCTGGGTACCCCCTGAACCGGTATGTCGGGCCTGTGAAAGGCCGTGTGGAATCACAGAATGTAACACGCTCCCCCCCTTAAGAGACCGAGCTACCTGCGAGGGCGAAGTTGTCTGTCCGATACTTGGGTGGGTCGGGTGGGACGAGCTTTGGTGAGTCGCCGGTTCTCATCGTCGGAGAAGATGAGTGGTGCAGATGCTTGTAAGTCTGCACGGGAGATCCAACAAGTGTCATCAGGGGCACATTGCTTGAATGTGACTTCGTATTGCATTGGCTTGTTGCCAAACTTGCGGTGCCTGATAACACGGTCGACTTCCTGGTGTCCGTCCATAGAGGGTGGATCTTGTGATCGTCGGCCCGGAAACTCATCCTCGGAAGGTGGCGTGTAGACGGCCACCTTCGACGCATGGAAGACCGGGTGCACACGGAGGTGCGGTGAGATGGCAATCACAAAGGAAGGACCTGCAGGGTCGTCGCCGGCTGCAGAAACTACCTTCCATGGTCCAAACCATTTTGGGAGGAGTTTGCGCGAGACGTCCTGCTCGAGCGCAAATTCCTCAGCGAGGACCCAAACAAGGTCTCCCTCGCGGAAAGGACATGGGAGTCGACGTCGGTTAGCTTGCTGCTGCATGCGAATTTGAGCCTTTTGCATGTTTGCGCGGGCTTTGATCAGCAAGTCCCGGTACTTCCGAACGGAAGCGGGAGAGCAAGCGACGTCTATGTTGGCGGCCCGTGGTAGAAGAAGATCGACAAAGACTCGGGCTTTCTCTCCACCGTGATGGAACTCGAATGGAGTGATGCAGATTGTCGGGTGCACCGAAGTGTTATAGGCGAACTCGATGTCGGGAAGCCGGTCAACCCAATCTTTCTGGTCGGAACGGGTGAGTGTACGTAACATCATTTGAGCGGTTTGATGCGCTTGTTCCGACTGCCCATCCGTCTGAGGGTGCCGTGCGGAACTCGACTTCATAGTCGAACCTGACTCCGTCTAGAGGGAAGTCCAGAAGGCGGACATGAAGCGAGTGTCTCTATCGCTCACAATATCTTTTGGAACACCGTGGCATGTAATCCAGCCGGTGTGCAAGAGTCGGGCGAGCTCGGGAGCTGTAGCACGATACTTGCATGGGAGAAAATGAGTGTACTTGCTCAAACGGTCAACGACCATGAGGATGTCGTCATGACCGAGGCGTTCGTGGGGGAACGGGCCTGTAACATCCATAGCAATGGAGAGGCGAGGTCCCCGAGGAATCGGCATCAGTTTCAGTTCGCCATAAGGGATCTGAGATCTACCTTTGTTACGATGGCAAACTGCGCACGACTCAATATACCTCGTGACGTCGTGAAGAACGTGTGGCCAGTGAAAACGCTGGCGGAGGCGGGCCAATGTGCGGGTCACGCCAAGGTGTGCCGAAAGTCGTGCGTCGTGGAATTCGCCGAGAAGACGAGTCCGTAAGATGCGATCTTGGGGCACCACTAACAAGTCCTTTCCTCTCGTGTGGAGGAGTAGGAACCTGTCGGAGATACGATAATGACCAGCCGGCGGGTGATCCGATGAGAGCTCCGCATAAAGCGTAGAGTAAGTCGGATCAGACTTATAGCCTTTGACAAAATGCTGCTGCAGATCGTCATCGAGTTGGAACATCGTAGTCATGAGGGCACAAAGATCGGGCCGTCGTGAGAGGGCGTCCGCTGTTTGGTTGGCGGGACCGGGAATGTGGCACGGCTCAAAGTCGAGCTGGTCGATGTAATACATCCATCGACCGATCGTGCTAGTGACTGCGTCCTGCGTTTTGTAGAAGGTCAACGGATTGTTGTCCGTGTTCCATCTAAAACACAGACGACCGAGAAGAAAGTGGCGCCACCGTTTGAGAACGGTGACGAACGCGAGTAGCTCTTTCTTTCTAGCGTCGTCGAGAGTGTTGATGGGAGGCACTTTTTGGGAGAAGTACTCGACTGGGTGCCAACCATCCGTGTGGCATTGTTCCAATACCGCACCAATACCGTACCCGGAAGCATCCGTAGTCACTTGGGTGGGTAGGGTGGGGTCATAGATACGGAGGGCCGGTGCGTCTTGCATTGCCGCCTTCAACGTATTGAACGCGCCACGAGCTGCGTCGTCGAACTCAAATGGTACCTTCGGGGACCGAAGTCTCGACAAAGGCGCTGCCACTTTGGAGTAAGACTCGACGAAGCGCTGATAGTATCCAACCAAACCCATGAAAGAGCGTACGTCCGTCGTGCAACGGGGTTCCGGCCAATCCACGATGGCTTGGATCTTGTCCGCTAAGGGCCAAATGCCTTTCGACGTCACATATTGGCCTAAGTACTCAAGCTCTTGTTTGGCGAATTCACACTTGTTGCGGTTTGCTTTGTACTTGGCTGCTTGCAAACGATCCAACACCACACAAAGGTGTACAAGGTGCTCGTCAAGCGTCCTACTATAGACCAAGATATCATCGAGGTAGATGAGGACGGTACGATCGAGCAAGTCTCGGAACTCCGTTGTCATGGCTGCTTGGAAGGTTGCCGGGAGTCCAACTTCGAGAAGTACATCGCGCCGCCCAACCGCTCAAGGAGATCATCAATCCTGGGGAGAGGGCTGACATTCTTTACGGTTTGTGCGTTAAGTTTTCTATAATCGATGCACAATCGTAGGTCCTTGTTCTTCTTCCGGACGAAGAGAACCGGTGCACCGTATGGCGAACAACTAGGGCGAATCCAGCCTTTGTCGAGAAGGTCATCGAGTTGTGCACGAAGCACCTCGAGTTCCTCTTCGCTCATGCGGTAAATGCATCCACGCGGAGGGACGGCACCCGCCTCGAGAGTGATCCCGTGACATATGGGCCGATCCGGAACCGTTCCGGTGGGAGCCTCGAAGATGTCTCCATATCCTTCCAAGAGGTGAGTAATACGTGGGTCTGGCGGCAACGCGGCTGGTCCATCCGTCGAGGGGAGGGCATGTAGGAAAACAAGTCCCATCTCCTTGCCGTCGTTCCTAGCTATGGCGTTGCGAATCCTCGCAACGGAAACCACATGACAAGCAATCGAAGTGTGAGGGGTCGCAACCGTGCATGGGACTAACACTCCGTTCCGATCACGGACGTGAACGGTTCGGTCATGAAAGTTCACCGGGTGGTCGGCGCTACGCAACCAAGACATGCCTAGAATCATGTCGAACTTGGTGTCAAGGATGTTAAAAGACACCGGCTCGCACGCAAGGGGCGCAAAGTAAACCGGCACGCCGTCGACGCATCAGTCAACTGACTTTTGCGTGTGGCCGTCCGCCAGTGTGACTTGCGCAGGTTGTGTCTTCCTTCGAACGCGCGGGCCAAGGCCTGCGCGGGCCATAAAGGCTTGGCTCATTAAGTTGTGAGACGCTCCGCAATCAATCAAGGCACTGCAGGTTGCCTTTCCGATTTGAACGTGGATATAGAGCAAAGGAGCATCGGTCTCAACGTACCTTTGGGTGGCGTACTCGCGGTCAATCTTCGCAAGATAGGAGCGGAGATCGACAACCGCTACTCCGTCGTCCGTCAACGGAGCTGGTACCGCAGCGTGCAAGTAGGAGCGTAGATTGCCATCAAGGCGTTACAATGCGATTTTGGCAAGGATCCAGTCGAGGGTAGAGGCATCCAAGCGAAGTCCTCTTCCGTGAGCAGGTCAAGCTCCTCAAGTCTTGACCATGCCTTCGAGTCCTCGGAAATCAGTGGCGAACTGACCGGTTCACTTGCCGACAGTGTACAAGCTACGCATACGCTATCTAAGTGCACGTGGCTAGGCTGGTCCAATGGTGGCACCAACTGGGCGGCATAATCCTCGTATGTATCACGAGAATCAGCGACTAACGCATGCTCCCAGGTAGTGATATCGGTTGTTAGCAAGGCAACCGGTTCCGGCGGAGTGAGGAGAGGCGTCGCCCCTCAGTTTCCCGAGTTAGCTGGACGGGGTACGCGTGCCTTGCCCTTTTCCGAGAATTGTGCGGTAGTATGGTTTACACTATTGCACCAAAGGCAATATCCGTACCGTTGACGAAGGTCGAATACTTCCTTGGTGATGTTGTATGTCGTCCATGGTTGCTGCCCAGTTCTCGTCGATGTCGTCGCTTGTGTCGCCTTGTTCTTTCGAACTCTCTCAGGACGCTTTGGCGGGAGCGCTGCGACAACTCCTCCATCACTCGAGGATGCTCCTGCAGCGTGGAGATCGATTGATTCGTCAGGAATCACTGCATTGTTATGCGCCAGCCGTTGGTAGCCTTGCTTAGCCACATATTGCGGTTGGGACTGCCGTTCGTTGGCGGCCTTCTCATCCGTTTGGATGACCAGGTTCGCTCGATCCAGAATGGCCTGGAATGAGGCATAGTCGTACTCGTTGCCAAGTGCCGACCATAGTCGTGCGCACGATCGCGAAAAGAATTCGGATCGTTGGTTTGGGAAACTTAAGTCGAAGCCCGGAGTGGTTACTATCTTCTGCTACTTGATCGTCCAGTCTCGAGTTGGCATGTTCCCTTGCGAGCTGGAGTAGACCTCGTTCATGGCCGCCTTTACAACGTTGCGGATCATGAATCGAGTGGTCCACATTTGCTCGAACTGCTCCCACGTAATGTCTTTGTGCAGTTGGGCGATGGTACATCCCAGATTGGTCGCGGTGTGGTTCATCCATGCCTGTGCTCCTCCAATGAGTTGGAGGTAGAGCGCTTTCATCATATCCGCGGGCGGTACGTAGTGGCAGGATGCTTCGGTGAGGAAGGCTTGCCACCATGTCAACGCGTCCGTCTTGTTGTAGTCGTCAAACTTGTTGATGTTGAAACGTGGCATCTTGTATACCTTCGTAGCGGCTCCCGGTCGTGACTGCAGTTTGGTGATGTCCGTCTTGATGGCGGCCACCGAGCTGCTGATCGTGGTCGGGCTGGTAAAGTCCCCTAGATTGCCGATAATATGGACGACATGGTCGATGCGCTCCCCAAGCTGCTTCGCTATGTCTGTCGTGCAGCCTGGCGCTGCTGAGGCCTTAGCCTCGATGCTGTTGACGCGTGTGATAGTGGTGTTCAACAGCTGGTGCTGTTGCTGCTGCTGTGTTGTTGCGGCGCGGACGGCAGCTGTTAAGGCGACAATATCTTGCTGCTGCTTTTGTCTGAGTGGTCTGTCCTCGAGAAGGTGTGCCTGCAGCATTGTGTTATTCCACATCACCGCCCTCATCATGCCCAGCATCAAGTTAGCCAGGTTACTCCTTTCTGCCTCCGCCGGTATCGGGTTCGCTTGCTCGTCCGTAGGCACAAAGATCATGCCTTGGAGGAGTGTTGTCCACTGAATCTCGTTCTGAATCAGGGACTCAGTGATGGCGGCATTCCGCTTGTCTCGAGCCATTGCGTCAGCCTCAGCAGTTCGCTGATCTTGGGCTTCCGCCTCTAGGGCCAACCGCTGACGTTCTGGTTCTGCTGCCCTCTTGCTGTGCTTTTGCTGCGGCGATGGCATCTGTGAATGCCTGTACCTGCTGAAGGTAAGCTTCCAAAGTCTCGTGGTCCCCTTGGACCGGACAGGCGGGAAGGTCCCTGCGGTGCCCGGTACTGCAGTTGCTGCATTGGTACTGGATGCCGCTGGAGTCGTTCACCTGCTGCGTCGTTGTTGCTGATACTTTGGCCATGGAAGTAACACAGAGTGGCTGCGAACTGCGAGCCTGGCACTGCGTCATGGCAGTGCCCCGGTGCTCTGTTCCGTCGACATCAGCACAGGCTGATGCGGTACTTGGAGACCTCGGTGTCACAGAGCATAGGGAGGGCAGGGAGGGTGGGAACAGGGGTAGATCAAGCAATCTACATACAGTCCCCTGTCCCAATGTGGACTCGACTCCTAATCAAAAGAGAAAAAAAATGATTTCTTCCTCCCAAACAATTTAATTACGAAAATAATCAATAATTAATAAGAATTGCAAGAAAAATGAGCAACAGCGAGATGACAAATCCATATTACGCAATCACATTGAAAGCCAGATAGTCACACCGTGTCCAGAGAGCAGCATTGCACCAATAATACACCAATGGAGGTTCGTAGTACTGAAAGCCAATGTCAAGGAGAGCTTTCTCTCTCCGCACCAACACAAGAGTCCAGTCCCTTCACTCTCCTACTTGGCGCTCAGCGCCTAGCCTACTCCTACACAGGTAATATCAGCCTTCTAATTGACAATGCAACTGTTGACATCAGTGGCAACCCGAAGTACTTGAAGATGTCGCCCAATTCAGACCATCGCCAATACAAGGTATGTGCCCTTACATCATCATCATGTTCATCCTTCACCCTTCCCTGACTTTACACCCACGTTTTCCTCCCTTACACCCGAAGACCCCTCTTGCGCCTCATTGTAGTCCAAGCCCACCAGCTATGGTGGCTGGGCTATGGCGCTGCCCTCAGCAACAGCCTTCTTCCCTGCATTTTTGTAAGAGGGGATGTTGAGGAAGACTCACCTTCAAAGGTGGGTGAACTGATTTATGGCATGGTGAGTTGTCTGATGAGTGATAAAGTCTGACGAAAAAGGCCACATTTGTTTGGAATGCTTAGGAAAGTCGCAATGAGTGCAGGGCGAGAGATGTCTCAGGATGGGTGGCTGCTGACTCTGATTAAGTCACGGGTCACGGCCTAGTGGACCTAGCGGTGATTTTGTTTGTGATTGTGCGAAGGGTGCCATGCCTTTTATGGGAGGGCTGGTAAATGCCTTCAGACCCCTGCGTAAGCTCGCAGTGGGCCCGTGATTTGTTTTGCGACGCCCCGTCTAACCACTTGTGCTAATTCAGAGACCTATTGAAGGAAGACCAAGCTAACGGTAAAAGTTTAGCACCACTAGGGCGTAACCCCAGTGAATGGCTGCTAGCCGGCGCAACCTGGTTGCGGGACTACGGGGTAAGAGTTTAAGGGGAGTTGCCCGCCCCAGGGAAATTACTCCGTGGGATAATGATGGTTGAGGTTTCTGGGAAATCCTGATTGAATGCTTATCAGGAGAAAACCTATCGTTGCGTAACCAACGAGGGTACTGTCGCTAAAATAACAACGCGGTGGGCCGTAGTCCTGGTCCGATCAGCCAGGCTATGGTGGGCCAAGATGGAGACCTAACCTTTCTGTACTAAACTGCAGAAAGAGCTAAGAGGATATTAAGTATACGTATATACGTATGTGTATTTGATTGCGAGAGATTTTCTGAGAAGGGAGGCGAGAGTGCCTTCAAGGGTCTCGGTTAGGGCCAGCGTCCCTAGTTTTGGCCAGGACTAGAGACACCTAAGCCGAAGGTTGTCGAGGACCGGGGGAAGAGGACGGTTGAGAGGGTCTTTGGAGATTATGCTGCCAGCGTCCTAGTGCCTGGGCGATGAGGGCCCAGGTTAGGAACCTGGCAGCATATAGTTGTGGAGGCATGGCTTGATGGAGGCCTCTTCCCTGTGTCTGTCGGCTAATCGGATTGGTCCCTTCGTTCGTCAGCACTTAGAGTTGTGGTTGGAGTTGTAGCTTTTTGATCTAGCGAAGCGACGGGTACATCGCTTAATATGGTCCGGTAAGCTGTCGGTGCGAATACCCTGACAAGGGTATCCGCCCTAGTATTTGTAAGTGACCGGAAGTAAGAGTAAAGGTCTAAAGTGTACTGCGCGAGACGCACCTAAGTCTGTTTGGTTACATAGGTAAGATGCTTGATTAGAGTAGAGCGGGTGTGGGCGCGCGCGATTAAGGCATGCGAACAACTTTTCTACCTTGGATTAAGCACCCAACATAGTTGGCCGGTCTGGCTTTGGTTACTAGAAGTAAGAGGTGCCCTTGGTAGGGATAAGTGACCGTTGGTAGTCTAACGTACGACGTAGGGTGCGAGGCGGTGCGGCGCAAAGAAGGCAAGCCGGCGTAGGAGCCTAGCGGTAGCGTGCCTAATGGGAAGTAGGAAAGAGGGCTGGGGCTGTGTCCCAGACCTGGGGGCTGCGCCGCACCTGTTCATATGGAATACCGGGCTGGCCAATACTAGGCTTGGGCTTAGCCCTATAGGTTATGGTGTCGGACTGTTATAGCGGAGATACGGGGATTGAGGCTAGCGGGCAGCAAAGCGGAGCAGCGGAGCAGTGTGAAGAAGGACGAGGGGTTGAGGGTCTTGCAGGACTATCCCCCTTGGTTTTGCTGAGGGGAGTCCAGCCACGGGCCCGTGAGGGTAGGGCCAGGCACTAACGGTCCCCCTCCCCCGTCCAGTTTCTTTATTATTTTTTTATTTTTATTTTTTGAGTTAAATTTTTATTTTTTCTGTTTTTGCTTTTTTTTTCTATTTTGAATGAGGTCCTGTACCAGTGTCGGGGCCCGCAGAAAAACCCAGCGGCATCGTTCAGTGTATCAGGACCAGTGTCGGGGCCCGCAGAAAAAACCAGCGGCATCGTTCAGTGGATACACCCACGAACGACTGGGCTACTGCTGGGCTACCACTACCGTGGTATAGTCCTTCGGGACATCCGTAAAAATTGGAACGATACAGAGAAGATTAGCATGGCCCCTGCGCTAGGATGACACGTATAAGTCGGGAGGAAACCCGGCTTCGTCCCCTACTGTTGTGTGTAGAATGCAGGCCAACGTCGATGCTTGAGTGAGCCGACCGCTAGTACTACACTGAGAGTGCCGGGGGGCACGAAACAAGGCAAACGAAGGGAGGTGAGGAAAAGATGGTGAATGAGAGGGTGCAGTGGGAGTGAAGGGGAAGCGGAGCACTGTGGAGGACGGGCGCTGAGGGAACATGCTGGTAGCATGGGCGTGAACCTGGCCTGAGCACCGCATCAGGTGCGTTCGAGCGAAGAGGGAGACGGGCAGCAGTGGAGACCGGCGGTACAGCACTATGGGTTGAGCGAGGCAGGGCAATGGAGTGACGAGCGGAAGGGAGCGATCGGGCTGGCCGTTGTGGAAGCAATAGAGAGGTGAAGGAACCCGGACGCATTTTGGCGTCGGGTGCACCCGAAGAGGTAAGGAGGAGCGAGCAGAGAAAGGCTGGGAGAAAGCAACTATAGGAAGTGAACCTGGACGTGGGTCTTGTCGGGTTCACGTGGAAACCACAGCGCTGTGGTTCCGGCGGACCGAGGGAAGGAAAACGGGGGACAGGCGCAGACAAGGATCGACGTGCGCTAAGGTAGGATGGAGGAATGAACTTGGACGGCCTTCTGCGCCGGGTGCGCGCGTAGAAGGGAAAGAACACAACGTCGGGGGAGAGTCGGGTATGGCGAAAGCGAGTATGCACGAGATAAAATAGGTGTAACTCGCTTGATTCCCAGCGAAGTGGAGCAAGCTAGGACTCGAATCGGGGGTTTCCGGCCTTGGCGACCCCGATTCCGAAGTCGGAATCAGCAGGAAGTTAGTAGATAGAGAGGTAGGAGAAAAATTGGCTGCGCGGGCTATGGCGGAGAAAAGAAGTTGAGGAAATGAAAGTGGAGTAAGTCGGCTGTTTCTTGGCTGTTCCTAGCGGTCTAAGATGCTATTCCGGGGTATTTGGGCAAGGCAAGCGTGATGGGAGTGTTAGTTTTTGTGGTGAACTAACAGATTGATCGGTGCGAGCAATAGAGGCTGCGCCCAGGCAGAAAACGAATTTCGAACATGGCAATGTATTCACTCCGACTGTTGCTCGTCGAACCAAAGGCAGCAACGTGTGCACAGAGAGAGAGAGAGAGAGAGAGAGAGAGAGAGAGAGAGAGAGAGAGAGAGAGAGAGAGAGAGAGAGAGAGAGAGAGAGAGA